CATATAACAAAATGTAAAATTTATATGATGTTCTGTACACTGCATACACTACACTAGCTAAATTCAAGATTATTATGATAATTTCTGTTTTTTGTTTTTGTTTTTCCTGTTGTGATGTTCAGGTAGGAGAGATGAAGCTTATTCTGTGCTCACCTGCAAGCCTGCAGGATTCCTGCTGTACTGACCTGAGTGATGGCCCAAACACACAAGAAGCAGACTACGGCATCCTCAATACCGAGATTAATCATGATTTCATCACCGACAAAACACGGATGGCGTACAACTTTCAAGCGCATTCCACCAACTACAGTAAGGAAGATTACACATATTGTGTCAGCATATTCTTGATAGAAAATCTGTGCTGAAATATATTTAGCAAAAACTAAAATTGATGTTCTGCACTATTTTATTTGTTCCAAACCCTCAGTTTGTCTGTAATGTTGTTAATATTTAGCTTTGCTGAACCAGCATTTCAGATTTCTGTTATCAAGTGCAGCATGTCAGAATCAGAACTTTCTCTTCTTTTCTGTTTTTGCAGCAGAATTATGTGAACAGGTGAAACGGGAATCCGGCCCCAACAAGTAATTTCCTCTCTTTTCCTCACATGCACCAGCTTATTGCAGGGATATCATGGCAGGATGTTGTAGACTTGATCCTTCCTGAAGTACACAAACTTTGATTACAAACGAGGAGTGAAGACATTAGCTGTCTGATGTAATATTGCTCCATTCAAATGAAACATGACAAACTTATAATCATGGCTGTGCCTGATGTTTGTGTCCAGGTGTGCTGAGCCTCCATACGCTCACAAATCTGATGTGGAGATGAAGGAAGATTTCAAAGGCCACAGCGTCACATCACCTGTAAGACAAACACACAAAAGTTAAAGAGACTTGTCTTCAGATTAACCTTTTCTTTTTCAAACCAACCAGTGTGAGAAGGCTTTGATTTATTTTTAGAGAGTGGATGCTCTTTGTGATAGTGTGTCAGCTGTTGTATTGCAGTGTTACTGTTCTGAACTACCTCATCTTACAATCTCATTTAATTATAGCTACGTTATAAAAACGATAAAATTGATCAGAATTTTATTTGTAATAAACTCTACTGAAACAAAATGAAATTGAAAAATAATTGAAATTTAATAAAAACTAATGATAGCTCAAGAAGATGATCATTGTGTCAGGGATAAACTAAAAACAACATTTGCAGTTCATTGTAATTCATTTATGTCGCCCACTGTGGCACACGGATATGTTTTTATAGGTAAAAAACAACACTTGAACAACACACACAAATGTCCCGCTCTGCAGAGTAATATCACCTCTTAAATCCAATTATTAGGTTTCTGTAGGTTTCACCTGAATCACACATCTGCAGAAGTGAGGTTTCACTTTCAGTCATACGACTGGGATGAAGATTCATATTTTTAGAGTTTGCACTGCTGACATTAGCAAAAAGCCTTCTTTGCATCTGAGACTGTGTGCTTCCATTTTTAATCCAGACTTACTTTACAGCACATTTTTGAATAACCTAGAGTATTCATGCAAGTAGAGGGGAGAAGTGATGTAGTACAGAAAATAGGGTGGGAGGTTAGTCACATAAAAGTGACTGATGGCAGCATTCTACTGACGATTACAGGATGGTGTTGAAAGCTGACTTTTTTTTCCCTCTAAACGACCCTAAAATAGAATCATTTAGTAACCCAACAATCTCAAAGCAGAGCTACAAGCAGAGCTGCAGAGTGAAGCAGGTTTTGCTTACATTGTAAAAACTCACAGTTCTTATATGTGCTCTCTTTTCCAGGCCATTGCTGGTAGACCTGTCAAGTCCAATATCACTGTCCACCTCCCTGCTGCCTTAAAACAAGCTGCGAAAAATGTTAACAATGTAGCCTGCACTTTCTTCAAGAACATCTCCCTGTTACAGGTAAGGCTGTTTGCCTTCAGTCGATACAGGCACATATGACAGGATTTCAGGTGACCTTATTTAGCTGTCAGCCTGCAATTTTTTCCAGTGTTCACATTTGCGATACTATCTGGAATACTTTTGTTGCTTTGTGTGCAAATATTTATGCTGCATTGTGTAAGATGAAGGTCAAGTTGTGTGTGTTTCTTTCAGGAGGCTCACAAAACTGCCAAGCCTATCAATGATGTGGTGGAAATCACGGTGGAGAACGAGATCATCAGAAATCTGTCTGAACCCATTAGGATTGATTTTTACCATGAAGCCGTATCTGTAAGTTTGTGTGTTTCTGTGGCCTTTAGCCTGTGTCAGTACGCTCCCCACCCACTTTATATTACTTAAAGCTACTTCCTTAAACTGACACTTACTGTACCAAATAGTAACTGTTGAATTGACTGCAATGTGCAGCAGTGCAAATATCAGTAAACACTCAGGGTGACAAATATGGCTCAGGTGCAGAAAACAAAAGCAAAATGCTGTTAAGTTCTGTAATATCAGCCTGTTGACCTCAAAGGTGCAACAAGCACAGAAACCATGTGTAGCAAAAATAGACTGCGGTCTTAATGCGCATAGTTTCTGTGAAGTAGTCACGGTGACACGTGAAACTCCCTCTTTTTATGTTAACTGTGATCTAAATATTCTTTAGCATTATGGCGATACACAGTAAGCCAGATTATGTATGCAGCAAATAGGAAACAACTTTAAAGGAACTAAATGTAAATATACAATACATGCGATATATGCACCTTCTTATTGGGAGATGTCTGCAGCTCACATCTTTGTTCCCTCTTTATTTCAGGAAAGTTATTTAAGGACATGTGTTTCTTGGGACACTAGAAAAGGTTGGAATCCTTTAGTGGTCGAGCACATTTGACATTTTTAATTATTATCTATCTGTTCTTTTCTATAATTTCCACCAGTGAAGTTTAACTGATTTGCATTTTCCCGTTGCAGATTCTCTGCAGGTGAACTGGTTGACAGATGAATGTGAGACACAACAGAAGGGGGAAAACCACATTGTGTGTCTGTGTAACCATCTGACTTACATCACTGTGGTGGTGGAGAGACACACAGCAGACTCTGCTTTTCCTACAACAACAAAAACAGTACGAGATAGTGCTTAGTAGTACTAAGTCATTTTAAAGAGATATAAAACAGTCTTTTTTTGTGTGTTGCATTTTTTGTATATGAAGGCCTTGCTCTGCTCATTGCACTGTCCACTTGTAGGACCTGAAGCCTCAACCAGTGTGCCAGCCCCTGGATCTCGCTGCCATTCGATATGTAGGCTGTGCTGTATCTATGATCAGCGGTTTTGCTCTTATAATTTACCTCGGCAGAAAAAAGGTATGTGTGCATACAGTCAATGGAAATTGTTTATTTTTAAATATTTTATTTATAATTAGGTAATCTACTTACATCCTTTCAATACTCTTATGAAAATATCTGGCAATGACTATTCCATTAGACACGTTCCAATACAGTATCTGCAAACACGACGAATTTGCATTGTATTTTGTATTTTTCTGATTATATAATTATAACAGCATTTCAGGCATTATGTGGTGCGTCTAGATGTTACATTTCAACAGTGTTATCCAATTAAATACACAGTACATACAATACATAGATTTATTGAGGTCTTTATTTCTACTTTTCTCTTAAACTGGCTGCTGTAACAAGGTATTTTCTTGGGTTTTGGAATAAATAAAGTGTTTTTGTCTTATATTATTTGAAGAACATTTGGGGTATTTAAGTATTGTATACGTATTAATATTAATATAGGATTACTGAATTATTGTAAGTGCAAGCAACAATAGAACAAGTTCATACAAAAACAAAAACTTGGTGGCATTACTGTGATCTTGTGATTAACTTGCTTAAAATGGAGATACAGCTCATGTACCAAAATATGTGAGCTGTATCACCCTTGATGTTAATAACAGAATCATATTACTGTTTTCTCACCACATTCTTGTCATTTAAAAACTGGAAATGTTCCTTTGTTTTGTTTATGTTTTTTAACAATTCTGGACATGTGAACCAAATTTATTTTCAGATTAAAATACCTTTGCATGGTCTGGCTATGTTTGCACAACTGAATTTCGAGGTGTCTTAACCTCACACTATAAAGTGCTTTGAGATGACCGTTGTTGTGTTTTACTGCTATATAAATAAAATGTATTTGATCTCAAGTACAGCTGCAATCTGCAAAAAGTGAAAGAAAAGTGCTTTTTTTTGTTTCATCTCATCATAGATTATGCTGCCATTTGTCATTTTGGCTGTTTTTCATGTTAAAATCTTTCAGGTTTGGTAAACAAGAAGTGCTGTTTGTTGACATCATGCAGCACCCTTCACCCTACCAGAGGAACAGGTACCTGGCCACAGGAAAGACTTCAGCTTCAAATCATAATACAACTACTCCCACAGTTAACTATGAAGCAAACTTCATAGTTAACTGTGTATGATGCAGCATTTTAGAGGCAAACAGTTTATTTATATGTACAGCAGTATGACTCTTTATCTCCTACCAACTGTTGCACCTGTGTTTCAGTTTGTATCTAATATCCAGTAGATGTTCTTGTACACCGTGTCATCTTTATAAAGTCTCACAATCCAGCTTGTCACTTCAGCGTTTTCAGCAGACCAAATCTAAGTGAGCTGCAATTTTATACAAGCTGGAACAGCTGAGGTAGCTTTTGTTGCACAGAGGTGAAACAGCTGTGGTCAAAGGTTTTGGTTTAAGTGTCACTAATGCCAAAAAATGTATTTATTTGCCATTAAAAGTCTTAAATGAATAAATGAAGGAATTGCTCATGACTGCTTTTCACTGTGTCACAGAAACATGTATTAAAAAATAAATAAACAACTTGAATAAAAATGTAAGCAGCAAAGTGTATGAAACAAGGCCATGAGCGAAGCTGGGGTCCGTTCTTCGTACCTCGCTTACTACATCCAAGATCGAATCGCGCCAACTTTGAGCTCGCTATTCCGGTTCTCCGAACACACCTGTTGTTGACGATTAGTACAGCTGGATGAAGTAATGTGAGATCACTGGGTGTCGTAAAAGGGGCTACGCATCGATAGTAGAAACATTGATCGGCAACCCTTTGATTGGTCGGCGAAAATGTCGAAGGAGCGCGCTCAGTATTTTTTGGCAGCAGAGCAAGAACTCTTGATTGAGGGATTTTAGGAGTTTCAGAGTTTAATTAAAACGCAAGGGAACACTGCAAAGGCTGCAAAAGCAAGGAGAGAGGGCTGGCAGAAAGTTGCTGACAAATTAAACTCGTAAGTAATTTATTATATTATATGACAT